AGTACCGGTAAAACAAAACAGGGATCAATATATGGAGAAGTTTTTGCAGAAATGCAAAGATGGACCCGATTTTTCATGCCCGTCATGTGGAACAATGTGTTTTCAACAAAACGTGGCAAAGGCGAAGCACGGAAATGCGGAACAAATCGTGTGTCAAAGTTGTGCACGTTACATTAGGAAAGGAAAGGATCCGCCATTTTTTACGTTAAATAAAGTAGGTTTTCCGTCTCAACCCGTTGAACTCAAAAACCTTACAACGCTAGAAGAGCGTTTAATAAGTCCGCGCATACCATTTATGAATATACGTTCATTGTCCATTGGAAAACAGTACGGTATACGAGGCGGAGTTATCAACATTCCAGTTGAAGTTAACCAGATGGTATCCTCATTACCGAGGTTGCTCGATGATACACATACCGTTACGGTCAGATTGAAACGCAAGATGGAGTACAAACATAGCGCATTTGAGGAAAACGTGAGGCCTGCTAAAATCTTGAAAGCGATAAACTTCCTTTGTAGACAACAACTTTTTACTGACAGCAAAATTGTCTTAAACAAAATTAATTTGAACCGGTTAAGCACTATACACAGCAAACCACGTATGGACAATGCGAATTCAGCCAATGCCGAAAGCGATTCTTCATCAAGAGAGTCAAGTGATAGCAACGATACGAATAGCGTAAACGTTGGTGTACTCGACACTCTTATTACGCAAGAGCCTTTTTATCAGCATCCATCACAGAGCTTGGTGCAAATGGCACCAGGAGAGCAATCAAAACCATTGTCCATAATATTAGATAAAGATGTCGAAGAATTGAGTTTCCCAACAATCTATGGTGGTAATCATAGAGTGCGTGCAGCAACAGACTTGCATGTATCGTATTCGGATATTGCAAAGTGGGAACTAAAGCATAGAAATGGGCGATGCTCATCAAATATATCCAACATTTTTTTCAAAATGTATAAAAAAGAGATATTACAGGTGCAAAATGTAATTGCCACGCGTGTACGACAAGACAATATTAGGAATCTAGAAGCATTTACCGCGACAGATATGTTGAACGAAAATAAGCGTTTCACGCTTCAACAAAACGATACCTTATATAACGATTTTAAGGTCATCCGTTCAACACAACAATACAGAGACAATTGCAAGCGCGATCTTTTTGCACTTTTGCGTCAAATCGGTAGGCCAACGTTCTTTATAACCATGTCAATGGCAGATACCCGCTGGGTTGATCTTCATGCGATACTTTTAAGAGTAAATACATTACGTGGGAATCCGTGTAAATTGCCGTCCGGTATAGGCTTACCGTTACAGTATAGTACGATTACCACGTTGGTAAGAAATGACCCTGTGACTTGTGCACGATATTATGCTCATAGAAAGAGATTGCTGTTTTGTTATATGTTGAATAAGAAGTCAGACGTTCTTGATGGAATCGATGACTATTTTGCACTTGACGAATTTCAACATCGTGGCGCGCCGCATACGCATGCCGTTGTTTGGAGTAAAGGTGCGAACGAGATTGGCATCGCTGGAGCGGACGCTATTATAAGGTACGCAGATAAACATATTAGTACGAGCTCTAGAGGCTTACATCCACAATTGCTGTCGTTACAAACACACAAACACTCAAGAACTTGCCAACGATCGAGTTCCTTACGTAAGTGTAGGTTTGGTTTTCCAAGATTTCCATTACCTTCAACGATGCTTTTACATCCCATTCCTGCTACCCTCTCTGTACGGGAGCGACAAAAATTGGCGAGTGATGCAAGACGCGTTAAGGAGTGGCTCGATGGTGCATCGTCCGGAAGTAATATCACTTTCACTGTCTTTTTGCAAAAGGTTAGTCTTGTTTTCGATGAATATCTGCTTGTTATCCGGTCGTCACTAAAGCGAACAACACTTATTCTACGTCGTCAGGTAAGTGATGTCTACATAAACAATTATAATCCCACCCTTCTCAGAATGTGGAATGGGAATATGGATATTCAGTTGTGCATTGATCCATATAGCGTGGCAGCGTACATTGTATTGTACATGACAAAAGCAAATAAAGGTATGAGTACCATGATGCAAAAGGCTTTAGCAAACGCTCGTAATAAAAAATCAGGAATAAAGGGAATTCTTCGTACCATTGGAAACGCTATGTTGAATTCTCAAGAAATAAGCGCACAAGAAGCATGCTATTTGCTACTTGGGTTACAGTATCGCATGTCAACACGACAAGTCATCTTCATTAATACATCACCACATAATGAACGACTACTAACCCTTAAATCTATTACTAAATTGCGCCAATTAGAATCAACGAGCACGGACGTGTATGAACCCTACGCATGCATTCAAAAGTATAAGTTAAGGCCTGAAGCTATGGAACATACGTGCTTGGCCGATTTTATTTCAAAGTATGAATTGGCCCCATACGATTCGAGCAAGCATAAATTACACTTGATTGGTCCTTACTTAACTAAGGAAAAGAGATTCTATTATAAG